GTGATGGATCAATCGTTGATCACACGTATGTAAACATAAAGCTAGAGAGACAAAGTGATAATTTTAGAGAGAGAAACCCAACAAAGATAAAGAATAATTAAAGGGTTAAAAAAGAACAATTAATTTAATGGATACTTTACCAGATATTACGTACTCATCACCCTCCTAGAGAGACAAAGAACCTGTTTTGGAGCCATAAAATTAGTAGATGAGAGAGAGAGAGTCTCTGTTTTCAAACTGTGAACTTAAATTAATACATTTCATAGATAAGCTAAATTAAGCTTTTAGACTGAGAAAACATTAATTAATCAATTCAAATATTCAATTAGGGGGTTTTTCTTTTTTTCTCTCTTACAGAGTCACATGGCATGTGAGCAACAGCTGTGTCCACTCTCTCAACTTGATAAATACCCTTCTTACCATCCTTCCTCCGACTTTTGACCCCTCTTTCTCTCTCTCTCTAACCACCAAAAACCAAAACCCACTTTCTCTGGAAAAACCAGAGCTTTGGAGCTCAACTCCTCTCTCTCCAATGGCGGACTTCAAACCCTAAACCCATCTTCCACCTTCTTTTTCCCTTAATAAGCCAAAAAAAATGATACCCTTATTCCCATCTTCTTCAAAATCTTTCCTCTGCTTCTCCCTCTTCTTCCTCTCTCTCACTCTTCTCTCCCCCTCTGCTTCCCCTGCTTCTCCATCTTCTTCCCACAGAGATACCCAGCAGCTGATTTCCTTCAAATCTTCACTTCCGAACCCGTCCCTCCTCCAAAACTGGCTCCCCAACGCCGACCCGTGTTCATTTTCCGGCATTATCTGTAAGGAAACCAGAGTCTCCGCCATCAATTTGAACTCCGTCTCTCTGAGCTCTAATTTCACCCATGTCTTCCCTTTGCTCGCGGCTCTTGACCACCTCGAATCGCTCTCTCTCAAAGCCACTAACCTCACTGGCTCCATTTCTCTGCCCTCTGGATTCAAGTGTGGCCCTCTTCTCTCCGACGTAGATCTGTCCCTCAATGCCCTCTTTGGCTCTGTTTATGATGTTTCTAATTTGGGGTTTTGCCCCAATGTCAAGAAACTTAATATCTCCTACAACACCTTGGATTTTCCTCCAAAAGACCCGTCTCCCGGATTCAAGCTTGATTTGGAGGTTCTCGATCTTTCTTCCAACCGGATGGTTGGGCCCAAGCCGGTTTCCTGGGTTTTCTCCGGCGGGTGTACTAATTTGCGGCACTTGGCATTGAAGGGAAACAAAATTAGCGGCGAGATTAATTTTTCGTCGTGTAGTAAACTCGAACATTTGGATATCTCTGGGAACAATTTCTCGGTGGGTGTTCCGTCGTTCGGTGATTGCTCTGCTTTGGAATACCTTGATATCTCAGGCAACAAGTTCACCGGCGACGTCGGACGTGCTCTGTCTCCTTGTTTGCAACTCAGCTTCCTCAATATCTCCGGTAACCAGTTCACAGGTCCAATCCCTTCGTTTGCATCTTCGAATTTGTGGTTTCTGTCGCTCGCGAACAACGATTTTCAAGGGGAGATTCCTGTAAGTATTGCGGATTTGTGTTCTAGTTTGGTAAATCTGGATCTTTCTTCTAATAGCTTGATTGGGGCTGTTCCTGCTGCTTTGGGGTCTTGTGCTTCGTTGGAATCTTTGGACATTTCGAAAAATAACTTGTCCGGTGAGTTCCCCATTGCCATTTTTGCTAAAATGAGCAGCCTCAAGAGACTCTCTGTCTCGGGTAACAAATTTTTTGGTGTCTTGTCGGATTCTCTGTCTCAGCTTGCCTTTTTGAACTCCTTGGATCTGAGTTCCAATAACTTTACTGGGTCGATTCCGGCGGGGCTGTGTAAAGACCCTAATAACAGCTTGAAGGAATTGTTTCTTCAGAACAATTGGCTGACTGGTCCAATCCCTGCTACTCTTAGCAACTGTTCTCAGCTGGTTTCTCTTGATTTGAGCTTCAACTTTCTGAGCGGGACGATCCCGTCAAGCTTGGGATCGCTTTCGAATCTTAAGAACTTGATTATGTGGTTGAATCAGCTGGAGGGGGAGATTCCACCGGATTTTAAGAACTTCCGGGGGCTTGAGAATCTGATCCTGGATTTCAATGAGCTCACCGGGACGATTCCTTCTGGGTTGAGCAACTGCACCAACTTGAACTGGATTTCATTGTCGAACAACCGGCTGAGTGGAGAGATTCCGTCCTGGATTGGGCAGCTGCCTAACCTTGCCATTCTTAAGCTCAGTAACAACTCGTTCTACGGTACGATTCCTGTCGAGTTGGGCGATTGTCGAAGCTTGATCTGGCTCGACCTCAATACCAATTTATTGAATGGAACGATCCCTCCAGAGCTGTTCCGTCAATCGGGTAACATTGCCGTTAACTTCATCACCGGGAAGTCGTATGCTTACATTAAGAATGATGGAAGCAAGCAGTGTCATGGAGCTGGAAATTTGCTCGAGTTTGCTGGGATCAGACAGGAACAAGTGAACAGGATTTCAAGCAAGAGTCCCTGCAACTTCACCAGAGTTTACAAAGGCATGACTCAGCCGACGTTTAATCATAACGGGTCGATGATCTTTCTTGATCTTTCGCACAATATGTTGTCTGGTAGGATTCCTAAGGAGATTGGTTCTACCAACTATCTCTACATATTGAATTTGGGGCATAACAGTCTCTCCGGAGCCATTCCGCAAGAGATCGGTGACTTGACGAAACTTAACATTCTTGATCTCTCAAGCAATGAGTTTGAAGGATCAATTCCATTGTCTTTGACTCGACTTTCCTCCCTCATGGAGATTGATCTGTCTAACAATCACCTCAACGGTACAATACCCGAATCAGCTCAGTTCGAAACGTTCCCGGCATCTGGTTTTGCAAATAATTCAGGCCTCTGTGGGTATCCTCTCCCTCCATGTGGGGTTGATTCAGGAGCAAATGCAAATGCTCAGCACCAAAGATCTCACAGGAAACAGGCATCGCTCGCGGGCAGTGTGGCGATGGGGCTACTCTTCTCCCTCTTCTGTATATTCGGTCTAATTATAGTAATTATTGAGATGAGGAAGAGAAGGAAAAAGAAGGATTCTACTCTTGATGCCTATGTTGAGAGTCATTCCCAATCAGGCACAACGACTGCCGTTAACTGGAAGCTCAGCGCTCGCGAAGCGTTGAGCATCAATCTTGCAACATTTGAGAAGCCACTTCGGAGGCTTACATTTGCAGACCTTCTAGAGGCGACTAGTGGCTTCCACAACGACAGCCTGATTGGTTCCGGGGGTTTTGGCGATGTGTACAAGGCTCAATTGAAGGATGGAAGCATCGTAGCGATCAAGAAGCTAATTCATATCAGTGGACAGGGCGATCGGGAGTTCACTGCAGAAATGGAAACCATTGGCAAAATCAAACACCGAAACCTGGTCCCGCTTCTGGGCTACTGCAAAGTTGGAGAAGAGCGGCTTCTGGTGTACGAGTACATGAAGTACGGAAGCTTGGAAGACGTTTTACACGACCAGAAGAAATCCGGGATCAAACTGAATTGGGCTACAAGAAGGAAGATTGCCATTGGAGCTGCAAGGGGACTGGCTTTCCTTCACCACAATTGCATCCCTCACATCATTCACAGGGACATGAAATCAAGCAATGTGTTGTTGGATGAGAACTTGGAAGCCAGAGTCTCAGATTTTGGAATGGCAAGACTCATGAGTGCCATGGACACCCATTTGAGTGTCAGCACATTAGCCGGGACGCCCGGTTACGTCCCTCCCGAATATTACCAGAGCTTCCGCTGTTCCACAAAAGGCGATGTTTACAGTTACGGTGTCGTCATGCTCGAGCTCTTAACAGGAAAGCGACCCACAGACTCCGCTGATTTCGGGGACAACAATCTCGTCGGGTGGGTAAAACAGCACGCCAAGTTGAAAATAACCGACGTTTTCGATCCCGAGCTCATGAAAGAGGACCCAAGCCTCGAGATCGAGCTATTACAACACTTGAAGGTTGCTTGTGCTTGCTTAGACGATAGGTCGTGGCGGCGCCCGACAATGATCCAGGTGATGACGATGTTCAAGGAAATCCAAGCGGGGTCAGGGATGGATTCGCAATCTACGATTGGAACGGACGACGGAGGATTCAGCATGGACATGGTAGACATGAGCTTAAAGGAAGTACCAGAATGCAAGTAATAGAGAAATTGCTTGGGGGGAAGGAAACAAAAGGTTCAAAAAAGAAGAAATGGAAGGTGGAGACGAGAGATTTCCAGCTCCAAATTTTAAAACAAATTTCTTCTTTTACCACTTTGAGATGGCAAGCAGCTCTACCAATTGAATGTATGTAATCTTGTTACTTTATACATAAAAGTTGTTTAAAACTTTTTTTTTTCTCATAAAAATGTGTATATAAACAGTTTCTCTGAGTTGTTGATGCTTTCTTTTTGGTTGTTTTGCTTTATATATGAGAGACCAATGGATGATTATTCATTTTTGTGATGGAGACTAACTTCACCTTTCTTTTGGCCCTTTCTTAACCTTTTCTCATCTAACTTTACTTGCAATTTTTTTAACAATTTTGAAAATTTAACAGCAAAAGAAAATGTGGC